CCATCACCAGGCTAACCCATCTCCCCACTCCTGTCCCCTCTAAAACCCTCAGTTTGTTTCTCAGAGTCCATACTCTCTCATAGTTCGTCTCCCCCTCTGATTTCTTCCCCTTCATTTTTCCCTTCCTACTATCTTCTTTTTATTTTTTTAAACATATGATGTATTATTTGTTTCAGGGGTACAGTTCTGTGATTCATCAGTCTTATATAATACCCAGCGCTCATTACAACACATACCCTCCCCACTGTCCATCACCCAGCCACCCCATCCCTCCCACCCCCTCCACTCCAGCAACCCTCAGTTTGTTTCCTGAGTTTAAGTCTTTCATGGTTTCTCTCCCTCTCTGGTTTCAACTTGTTTCATTTTTTTCCTCCCTTTCCCTATGATCCTCTGTCTTATTTCTCCAATTCCTCATATCAGGAAGATACCTTACATGAGGATACATATGGATACCTTACTTACATTAACAGTGTTCCTCAGAACAGGTTTTGATGGGGAAGGAGAGTACTTGAGAATAGTAGGTGATGGGATAGGAGACAGTAAGGACAGGGAGACCGAAGGCTTTCCCCACTGGACTCTGTTATCCAGAGTACATATAATAATGCTAAGTTTTTACCAATGCTCAAGTAAATTTATGGATTTATTTATTATTTATTTATTTACAATAGACAAAAAGGACTATGAATCAGGCACTGTGTCAGACTCTGGACTCTTGGACATCAGATTCCTCTCAGAGATTAGTTCACTGGATAAGAGATACAACCTGTAAGCAGGGAGGGAAGATAAGAAGAGGCTCTGTGTCTTCCATTCTGCGAAACTTAAACTCACCAGGTCACCGCAGTTGACTCAGACTCTGCATGTTTGAGGCCCAGGGTGAGAAACATGCTACCCCTGTAGGGTCCCTGGATAACACCAAAGCTGGCTGGAAAAAATCACCCTGGACATGAAAATCAGAGATTCCCACTCTGATTATGTCATTGAAGCAGTGAGGAAGGTGGTTTAATCTAATGATTCTATTCATTGAATTTTCATGTTCCTATTCCTAAACACTTCCTGAGTTCTTTGAAGGAGGACCTATAAACCCTCCAGTTTACTTTCCCAAACAATATAATGGGATTCATCAATACTGCTGTGTGTCTTAGAGTGATAGCTCAAGTAAGCTACTTTGAACTCCTTAAACTAGTTAACTGCTAACAGAATCCATTACATTCAAATAAAATAAGTGGGAAAATCTGCATTTTACTATCTAGAGCATTCATTGTGGAACTGGAGAGTCTGCTTAGAGCTCAGTACCAGGGGAAGGTTTCTTTTTCCTAATAAAACAGTGTGTGTTAAAACAATTTTTTTTTTGGATGAAACAACTCTATTTCCTTCATGCTTCTCTAATTTTCCTTGATTTTCAAGAAATTAAAAACAATGTTTTATGTTCATTTGTAACAATGTTCTTAAGCCTAACTTTTCTGAACGATAATTTTCCTCTCTCTCTGCCTTTGTATTAAGCTCTTATTTTATTTCTCCCGTGATGAGAGTTTGGAGCTTTTTGTATTTCTCCATATTATCATACTTCTCTCTCATCCCTTCTTGACATCTAAGAGTATAACTGGATGTTAAAGTGGCATTCTACCTGATTCAGTTTCAGCTCAGGCATAATACAACTGAACTAAAATATCAAAGTGAGAGTAAGACAGTTGACCACCAATATGCAGAATTTACAAAAGGAATGAAGGTAAGCCCCCTTTTTCCAATACTCTTTGCCACATTAGCTGGATCAAGGACATAAAGTGAGGGCAGAGTGGTAAGGAGAGTTTGTGATAACATTTATAAAGAAAAAGCTGTGGCCATGTTGTGAGTCCTCACCCACTCCGTTTACAGGAGGGATGGGGAGCAATGAAACTTTCTAACCTTAAGCTTGGTAGGAGGACTTCAAGGGAACCCCTAGAAGAACTTTGAAGTATATTTCTTGCAATTGGGAGATACGGAGAACTACTACCTGACTCCTACCAGAGAAAGCAAAAGTTGACAGTGAGCTAGAGTTTGACTTCACCCAGCAAATCTGTTGGGAAGAGGAAGGCCAACTCCTGGTAGTAGAAATGGGAGAATCTTGCTACAATCATAGTCTCTGAGTTTGTAGGTGCAAAGCATGTGTACAGGTTTCTTGTGGATAGATGTGGGACTCGCAGGAGTGTCATGGCCAATAGAGTAACTTTGCTAGGGTCACTAGTGACCCCAAATAGACACGTATCCTATCAAATCAAGAAAAGTGTTATGTACCGAGGTATCTTTTATAATTTCTACCTGAAGGTAATCCTCAGACTCCTCATAGTTGATCAGGTTTTTGCTTCTCCTTCTTGCATAAAAAAATTTTAAAATGTCCTCTCACCCCCACAGGAGAAATAAAACTCTACAAGATGAACAGATATGCTTCATTTAAGGAGTTAGTTTACCCCATTAGATGCTCAAAACTGCATTACTTTTCAATTAAATGCCATCTTCAGAAGCAGAGACTTAACCCACAGTGATATTCCATACTCTAGGTAAGTTTTGATGGGCAAAATGAAAGGTAAAAAAAAAAAAAACAATTATTATAAGAGGGTTTGGTGATGGCTTTGTTGGTGAGGATGTCTGAGGTGGAGTTGAGGAGGTGGGTGGAAGTCAGATGTGAAACTGTCTGACTAACTCATCAAAAATTGGAACAGCTTATAACAAAAAGCTAATTGCATCCAGCTCTCAGTTTTGCCTAATGCTAGCCAAGCAAGTGTTTCATGTGGGCAAGGATTTCTCTGATACCCCTCCCAGTTCTCAACATCACTGACTCTAAACTGATAACTCACAGATAAGTCAGCTACAGTCCACTTACCAATATACATTTATTATAGGTTTCAACTATTTGAAGAAAAAAAGGAAACAGAGTATACATGAAAACAAAGGCTGAAATTATGACACCAGGAAAATTCAAAGGTCATCTATTGGTAACCCTTGCTCTGACTGCAGCTGCTGAGATCACTCTTGCCCTGAGAAATCATTGCCATGTGAGACTTTTGCTGGGAGTATGACAATTTTCCTCTCTCCCTTGCCTGCCTCGATTGTCCCAGGAATGAGGCAGGAGCAGAGAGGAGTCATTAAGAAGGAGAAGGAGAGTTTTACAAACAGTGGTGTGCTGATGAACAGGCTCTCCAAAAAGAAAACCCCTAATTTGTAGTGTTGCCAGTTCCCATGTTATAAATAGTCCCACCATGGCCAATTTCAAGGATGACTATAATTAATAACCAGATTGCAAAATTTTAAAAATTTAACAGTCAGCTGTCATGAGCTTAGTGCTAGCTCACTCCAGCATTCCAGCACACTGCTGCTTATAACTCAACAACAATCAATAACAACAAGTTTCTATAAATATATGTGATATAACTTTAATTTCCTGAGAAGATATGCAAATGCAAGAGAAGCAAGGTATCTAGGTCTTTGGCCAGTACAGCTACTCAGCAGATGTTTTTTAAAAAAGACTAAGAAACATCTTGGCCTCAGGCTTACTCTGTTCCCCAGCAATTTTTGTCCCATACAATACAAATATTTTTTAATTAACATAGTATAGCTTTTTACAAATATCCATAAATATTTTAAATTGGGTATCATGTAATCATATTATATACCTTTCAACAAGAACCCCCAAACAGCTAATTAATTTAACAGAGTCTAAAAACTTTAGCAGGCTATCATTTAATTGAGTGCTATTCATTATTTTTAGAAGTTAACACGTTTGACCAAGACAGGCTCTTTAAAGTGAGGGAGGGGATTTGGTTGGAATAAGCCCTGAGCAACACCCTTGTGCTCCCTGATTCAAGCAGGGAAAGGAAAAGTAGTTTGCTAAGGAAGGAGAGTCGGTTGTAGCTTTAGTCTACCCACCTTGAACTGAAAGGGAATGCATCTCCTGATAATTACATCTGCTAAGCTCTATGGACTTAACATCATAGCTGAAATACTAACCCTAAAGCTGAGATAGTGTGATACACTGCAGAAGCCCACTGGCCCTATCAGTCATTAGTTCTATGGGTTGAGGCAAGTCACCTACGTTCCAGATGCCTTCATATTTTCTTTGTTTAAATTGTGCCAAAAACACCTGCCCCATTCGCTTCATAGAGTTGCCCTGTGATATATGAAAGCACTTTGCAAACTGTGGACAGCCAGCTAAAAATAGGAAATTATTACATGACATAATACAGTACTGATGATACCAATTTCTAGGGTTTAATTTTATGATTACTAATGATTAGTCTTTCTTTGCTACTGACAACATTTAGACACACATCAACAACTTCTCATGAGCCCGATGTCAACGTTCAGAATGAGTCCTTGACCAAATGGTTTTATAAAGCATTATGCATCCTGAATGTGATGAAATCAGGGAAATTCCCAAGTAAAGTGCATTCCATTCTATGCCATCTGTGCCTCTGCCCCAATAATTCTCTGAGTATTCTGTCTTCTTAATATCATCACATCTAAAGTGGGGTGTTGTTGGCATATCTGTGGCCACCCTCCCAGTCTGTCTACTTTTAATAGGAGGGCCTCAAAAGACAGGAGTATGGGAAGAGTAAAGTGAAGCAGCCCAAGAATATGAGAACAAGGCCAGGCCACCACGCTGAATCTTTTTTTGCATGCCAGGTAAGGCTCCCAGGGCAATAAGACAGTTTTTCCCCGCTCAAGGATTCAAGAATTAGACACAGACTCTTTGAGAAGCTTCTGTCCTTGAGCCACCCACAATCATTAATCATGGATTAGTAAAGCGTCTTTGCTGACCCAATGTCAGAGGTAAGCACATGTCTCTGGCCTGTCCTCCGAGTCTCTTTTGGATAAGCTTGAGAGATGAAAACTCACATGCAGAGGGGTTCTGTCTGTGTTGATTTGTATACTCAGACAAACTGCGGGTGTTGAAAATCTGCCTCCTCCAACACACTCACCAGCATTTCTGCATGTGCTAAAGACGATAAGGAGGCCAAATTGAGTCTCTAGGAGTTATATTGGGGATTTGCTAGCAATAAGATCCCCCAGTATGTATTATTTTTTAGAACCTGATGTTCAGAGTTGTATATCAACTCTAGTATATCTCCAGCATGCAGTTCATAAGTCCCTCCTACATTTTGAATTTTAGAGTTGTTTGTTAGCACTTGTATGATGTCTTCATTTTTACATAGCCGCACCTCAAAAGGAGCTGGTTCCTTGTAGGTTGTATTGGGAGCCACTTGGCCATAAATTAGATACAAGCCATTCTGAAGTATCTCCAGTTTCTCGTTAGCTGTCTTATTCACACAAGGAAGCTTAGGACATGTCATTTGCCATTTTAAAGGGAATGGTCCTGTAAGGAATTTACAAAAGAGAGAAAAAAAAAGAAAACATAGTTATTTATTTAATTCCCTTCCTGATTATAGTTCTTTCCCACTTAACAAGTTGTTTCTTTACCTAGTCTGTACTAGTTCTCTCCAAAAACAATTTTAATATTTTAAGTATCTATTCCTTGTTTTAGAGAAATTACAAATCCTAAGTGTATCTCTTGCTTGGGGAGCTCTAAAGAAATGGATTTGGAATAGAAAAATGGGTTAAGTTTTAGGTGGCATTGCATCTCTTGTCAATCAATATTTGTGAAAGGAACTAAAGGAGGAAGGGAGAGAGGAATCATACACTAGGATTGTGATAACCCAAGTTGGCAGTCCAGGATGCATATTCATGCTTTTCTATGTAAATACTGTTTACTGTGTATCATTTTATCAATGAGACCTTCCTCATCAGTCTACATAAAATAGTGCTCTCCTGCCTCTCTCTCCCTTTATCCTGCTTTAGTTTTTTTCATAGAAGGTTTGTCACCGTCTAGCATATTATAAATTAAGTTGCTCATTACTCACTTGAATATAACATCTTTCAGGACAAGTACTTCTCTATTTTGTTCATTGCTATATCTTCAGCACCTAAAAGAGTTCCTGGAACCTAGTGTGTGCTCAATAAATATTTATTGATTGAATGATACATCCCTGTTCCTGAATTAGGTGCATTATGTTTAAATTATGGCTCTTCTCTTTAGTTTATAGGTATATACCCAAGATCTACTTGGGATATCCTGGTAAATTCATGAGTTTATAAATGGAAGTTATTTGAATTTTTAATAAAAATTTAAAATTTTAAATGCTTAAATATAAGTATCCCTAGTTTAAAACTGTCATAGGGGATGGAGAAAGAGTCAAGACTTGGTCACTTATTTTCATAGGAATATGTGGAATTTACATATTTTCCTAATGTTAGTTGTTTTTGCATAGTAGTGTGATTTCAGAGCCCCAGGGAGTGTCTTGATCATTCAAAAATACGTATTTGGTCTGTTCTCTAATCCTCTGTAATTTTTTTTATGAGGGCAAAGCCTTTATCTCATGATTAGAAAGAAACCTTGATAAAAAAGCAACCCAGAAGAGATCACACATTAACTTAAATTGTTATTTATATATAAATGATTGATTATAAGGCTGTGAGGGTAGATTCTGAAGGAGGATGAAGGAGAAATCATTAGAGCAAGAAGCAAAGTCTCTCTGTATCTCCAATGAGCCCAAAGCCCGGTAAATTTCTTCCTGCTTTACATGTGCTACGTAATAGACAATAGGCGAGTCACCAGGAAAAAGTGTCACTGGTTCTCTTATTCTGTAATAGGAGCCACTTAGAGACTTGAGGCCACTTAGCACACTTGAGGTTCTCAACATTTTATCACCTCAAGAGGGAATTTCAAACATATCATGATTTCTACTCCATTTACTAGAAAAACAAAAACAAATTACAAAGGCAGAGACAAATAGTAAAAAGAGATTCCCTAGTTCCCACAAGCCAGGGAAGCCCAGCATTTCGAACTGTATAGGAAAACAAGGATTGCAGTTAACTTTAGAAATATTCTGTTCTCAGCTGAAAAATGTGTGTGTGTGGCCTGAAATATGTAAACAATCCAAATGTATTTATTTTCAATTTTGTATGTATTCTAAGAAATACCCTAAAGCTCAGTGAACCTGTAAACTTTAATGTGTTTTCTTTTCTTTTTTTTAAGATTTTTATTTATTTAGCTTAGAGAGAGAGAGAGACAGCAAGAGAGGGAACACAAGCAGGGGGAGTGGGAGAGGGAGAAGCAGGCTTCCCGCCAAGCAGGGAGCCTGATCCGGGGCCCAATCCCAGTTCCCTGGACCATGACTGGAGCCGAAGGCAGTCTCTTAACCAACTGAGCCACCCAAGCACCCCTTTAATGTGTTTTCTTAGTAAATACCAGGTCACTAAGGGAAAGTGGCTCAGAAGCTGAGAGGATGGGAGAGGCACAAAGGAAGTGGCCATTTCCCTGGCTTTCATTCCTTTTTTATATATTTGGAAACAAAAATGTCACCCTACACACACTCTACTGAGCACCAGCAATATATGAACTCTGAGAAGAACTTTGAGTTTGTCAGAGGGAAAGGTTGTAGAAATTTGAAACTTGCACTTATTAAAACACAAAATTAAAGGTGGATTCCCGGATTTCAGGTTCCTGGCCCTGTAAAAGTGATGTGAATTCCTGCCCAGATATGTGACCTTGAATGTAAGCTTCATCGAGGATGGACTTGTCTGTCTGGTTTACCTCCGAAGTCTCAGCTCCTAGACAACTGCTTGGCACATGATAAGCAGTTATAAATAGTAGTTGAAAATGAATAAAAATGGGCTTCCTTCTTGCATCAAATACTAAGAAAAGTAAAAAGGAGGTATGCAAGACAGGTTACTCACCAAACTTAGCTATGCAGGGCTCACTGGCAGTCTGTAGGGGAAGAAAAGGAGGAATTCGTCAGGAGGATGACAATGTCACAGCCTTCTTGATTGGTTTATTTAGAGCTTCAGATCCTGAAGCAAACTTCTATTCCCTAGCCATATTAAAAAATCCTTCCCTCCAAATAGTCTCTCCTGTTTCAGCTTTCCTTTGTAGATGGCCTGGCTCTTTCCTTTCCCTTTCATTACCTAACTGCCTTTTTGGGTCTTCTAGGCAAAAGTTAAGGTCTCATTCCATCCACCTAACTTCTACCGATAGGACAACTATTTGATCTTGGACTCTCCTCCTCTTGGGCTATAGAAATTATCTATAAACAGTAGTCTCCACACCCCAGTCACTACACAATGTGATCCATTGGCATATGAAAAGAAAATAATAGAATTTCTAGTTAAGTTTATTTTTATTTTTAATAATATTAAACTATAGAAATATTCACAATGCAGATTGGTAAAGCCACCCTCATTTAATATTCAGACAATCACAGTTTGCAGTAACTGAGATACCATGGGGAGACTAGTTTCAAACTTGCAACATACCACAGTTTACTTCCTACAAGAAGCCATCAGTGTGGCTAATTCTATAAATACTGGTATTTAAATGCTAAAGGCTTTAAAATACTTAGTAGTAAAATAAGGTATAACCACCAAAAAAATTTTTGTACCATGTAAAATTCATTGGTTTCCTTGAGGCAAAGGGCTTAAGAGACTGAACTTAAAGATATTGTACATTTTTCTTTTATGGCATTTCTTTGGCTGCCATGATAGGAATAAAGCAAAGAGAGGCCAGTGTAAAAACAGTGAGACCAGCCAAAAGATCACTATAATCATCTAGGCAAGAAAGCATGGTGCCTCTGACCAGGGTGCTGGCTATCCTGACGTGGATATGGGAAGAGAAAATAAGAAGACAAAAGATGACTCCAAGATATTGGGCTTCAGTAATTGAAAAGATAAAGTTGTTAATCACTGAAATGAGCAAGATTTAAGAGGAGTAAATTGAGAGGGAAGAATCATGAGTTCAATTTTGTACATATCAAGTTTATGATTGATACTTATTACATATCCAGGTAGACTCGAGTGTCAGGTAGGCAGCTGGACCTATGAGGATGGAATTTAAGGAGTTCTGATGATGTGACACTTTAAGACGTGAGATTGTGTGAGATTGTCAAGGCAGTGAGTATAGATAGAGAGGAATGTTCGGAACACTGCACTATTTGGAGGCCAGGGAATGAGGAAGAAACACCAAAGGAGACTAAGAAAGAAAGGCCAGTGAGTCAGAAGGGAAACCTGAAGACTGTGATGTTGGAAACGAAGAGATGAAAGTATTTCACAGAGACGTGGTCAGCTGTATTAAATGTTGCTGATGGCTCTAGTGAGAAGAGGACAGGGAATTAACTGATGGATTTGACAACACGGTAGTCATTGGGGTTCTTGGCAAAAGTAGTTATGTGATGTGGTGAGGACAGAAACTTAATTAGAATGGATTCAAGGCTATGTGAGAAAAGAAAAATTGGGGGAATTTTGCTGTAAGGGAAAATGGAAAAATTAAGTGGAGCTTGGAGGAGGATGAGAGGTCAAAGAAATGTTTTGATTTTGTTGTTTTTCTTAGTCTTTGGTTTTGTTTTAACATGAGAGAACTGACAACATGGTTACCTGTTGCCATTTGATGGGAATGTTCCAGTAAAGGGGCAGGGGTGCGTGGAATAGAATGTAAGAGCTAGTAGATAATTGTTGGAACAATCAATGTCCTTGAGTAAGTAAGAGGGGACAGAATCTGGGTCACAGGTGGACTTAGATAGGTACATGAACAATTCATGCACAGTGACAAGAGGGAAACACAGTCTATGTGAACAAAATTGCAGGTAAGCGGTAGATATGATAGGGAGCTTTGGAACTTCGTTCCTGCCTACTTCTGTTTTCTCATAGAACTTAGATGCAAGGTTTTCGAGTGAGAAAGAGAATGAGGAATAGATATTGCATATTTAAACAGAAGTCAAAGGAATAAAATAGTCTAGTAGAAGAGAAGGGAGAAATACAGGTTATGACAGTCAAAATCATGAACCAAAGTAAATTAACTTATAACCTTCAAGTTATTGTATCACAAAGTATTAAACTAAGGTTAAGAAAATAAAAGAAACACATTTATCAAATTACTAAAATAATATTTTGGTTATATTAGAAATGCTTATATTAACATGTAAAATATAATATTTTGGTAAAAGCAAAACAGTTTTGCATTGTGAATAAACTATATGAAGCATGTCATTCGGTTCATCCTTAGAAGTTTCCATTTTGTGTATCTTTTTATTATACATAGTATTAGCACTCATATCTAACATAATAAATTAGCATATATGGTGGGATTGTACTAAAAAATATTTTGTTAATAAGGAGGTACAATAAGAAAGTTTGGATTCCTATAATTGTCTTTGCTCTTGTAATTATTTCATCCTCCTTTTGGGGTTTCTTAGAAGAAATGCTGACATTCAATTTAGTTTGATCCATGATAGGCATGTGAGAGATTCCCTTATCTTTAATTTTCTCTTTTATAAAACGGGAGACATAATAGCACTTAACTCACTGAGGGTGTTTATGGGTTTAAATGTCATAATTGTTAAGAAGGGCTTTGCCCAGCCAGATCTGGTCCTGCTCATTAAATATTAGCTGTTTTGATAATGATGCCGATTATAATGAACTGAACAAAACATTAATCACCTATATTCCCAACTAGCACTGTAAGCAAGAGAAACATACAATTTATAGTCCTTGCCTCTTAGGCAGTTTATAATCTTTCTAGAAAGACATGATTACACACATGAGGCAATTGGGTAACAATCTAAATATAAATGAGTGCCAAAATATGTGGCACAGATAACATCTGTGGTCTACTATCATGTAGAGAGTGTGTGGAGAAACCTAAGGCTGCAGACAAATTAATTGCCAGAGACAGAAATCCTGGATATTGTACTTGGGCTGTTTTAATGTCTACTTAGAACTACAGAAACCACCACTGACATTTTCTATTGCCACAAATGAAAATCTGTCTAATCGAAAAAATCATCTGTTTGGCGGCAAGGTATAGTCTTTAGCTGAGGAAATGAAATAGATGAGCAAGGAATATCCGTTTTGTTAAAAGTCTTTTTAAATTTATCCTCATTATGATGTGAATAATAATGATGCAAATATTAATCACTACAATCTATTCAAAGCCTGCTCTGGGTCAGGCACTGTACTGTCTCATTAATCCTTACTGCAGGTCTATGGGGTAAGAACTAGCATGCTCATTTGCAGATGAGGAAGTGCTCCTGAGAGGGATTAAGTAACTAGCCCAACGTCATGCAGCGATAAAAGGCTATGCTGAGGTCCAAACAGTCTGTCTGATTCGAAAGTCTCACCCCTACGACTCTGTGGGGGCAGTTTCTATTTATAGTTCTGCTGATCTTTGGAAGGAGTAAATATCCATTTATAAAGAAGCATATGGGACTTTCCATTTAGTTTAATTCATTTTTACTTAGAAGGAGCAATTGCTCTTGTAATCCCGTTATAATTTAAACCCAGATTTAAATGCTTGGGTTCAAATGGCCAAAACAATAATTCTTTCTCCAAACCAACCCTACTCAGATCATCATTTGGAAATACTCTATTCTGCTTTTAAGTACAAGCACAACTTCCCCTTTTGGAAGGGCATCCTTCATTTCATTGAAGCAGGGAGCTCTTCTGAACATTTGTTTTTTGGGTGTTTGTTTGTTTGTTTTAGAGATAATTTCTGTGAGGTTAATTTCACTGAGGGGTAGACCAAACTCCTTGGGTTCATAGCCATTCCTTTCAGTTGAACGTCTTTTGAAAGATGGGGGGGGGCACCAAAAAAAAAAAAGTGTTCTCCCAAGGAAATTTCTGTTGTTTTAGAAGGAGCCAATCTTCCTGTCTAATGCTTTTTGAATTAGTGCCTAGAGAAGTTGGAAAGTGGGATTTTGTATATAAAAACTAGAGTGAAGACAAACAAAAAACAAAAAACCTCATGGGTATTGTGAGAAGGTGGAAGTGGCCACCTCATAATGACTCACCATCCGCTAGCCACATAGCCCTCCTTTCCTAAGATACTTATTTGTGACCAGTAAGGAAAAGGAAGAGCAGGCAAGTGGAAAGTGAGTTAATGTTGCATTGCGTCAGCCAGGCCATTGGCTTTTCCTATAGGAAACAAGACTTTATGACATTCAATCAGGACAATATCCTGAAAACCTTTAAAATTTCCCCAAATTTGAAGTAAACTCTGGGCTATTTCTTTAGAGGCAGAACCTTTCATTGAGAAGATGCATGTTGTCTAGAAGAGAGAATCAGAGCTCAGACACATGGGATTGGTCGAGTTCAGTTCTGGCAAGAGGTATCCTAGGTGCCTCTGGCATTATTAGACTTCCTCTTTCCCTTTGCAAGAGCCACTGTGTTCTGTTGAGAAGGACATTTCCAGCCTCTTCTATGCATTGGTTCCCCAGTCATATGTAGGAATGGATAACACCTATGACATATCTTACATTCTTCGGAGAAATCTGGCTAAAACTTGAGGTGGCTTTAGAAGGATAAATTCTTCCAAAGTTAAGCTATTGCTATTCTCACCCTTCCTTTTCTTCACAAATCAAAACACTCAGAATTTCAATCAATTCTTTTCTTTCTGCTCAAAGCTCCACTGCTCCAGAAAGTTCAGACTTCTGCTTGATACATTTCTGGAGAGAGTGGGGGTGTGATTAGAAAAGTCTCTGTTGCATATCCTTGTGTACAGTTAGGGAATATAGATTAATGGTTTAGTGTGTAGAGATGTAACCAAAGCTACACTTCCCCTAACTAAATTAATACCAGCAATTACCATGTACTTCCTCCTGCATCTTTTCTCAATGGCTTTTAAATATCTAAGTAGTAGAAACATATTTTTGGAGCTTTCACTGGCCAATCCCCTTAGAAAAATGTTTCTGCAGGTGCCTACTTTTATATCATAGCCCCTTCTTAGATAAGCATATACTACTTTATTCTCTCCAAGGCTTTGAATCTTCAAATGTACCCCAAAATAGGTTAAATCCTAAATTAAATAAAGCATTGTCATGTGGGTACATATAATAGAGTCAGAAAAACTTCTAAAAAGAACTTCATATATCTCCATTTCCTTTACTAGACCCACAGCTTGGATTGGAGCTCAATAGGAAATTCCTGATAAGCATCAGGGGCTTCCCAAATAAGAATGTGCTACCTCCTTCCTCCATGAAGCCTTCCCTGATCACTCTAGCCCAAAGTCCTTGTCCCCTATTTTGAATTCCTAAAGCATTTATGTTCTATACTACCCTTAGATAAATTATTAATCACTATATTTTATAGCTAGAAGGGGTACTGTAATGAACAAATCCATTCTCCTACCACCATTTTTCAGATGAAGAACCTTTCTGAGAACCAGAAAGATTAAATGTCTTCTTAAATTCATACAGCTAGGGAGACCTAGAACCAGAATCCAGATCTTACTCCTAGTTCAGTGCCATTTCCTTCCACAAAGATGCACTAACCACCTGTCATTTACCTTATTCTGACTTCCATTATCTTCTTATATCTTTTCCCTCAATAAGACTATAGCTTGCATCCCATTCCTTGAAGGTAAGCATATGTTTTATACCTTTATTCCACCAAGAAGGTTTAACAGAGTTACAGAAAGGGAGAAAATATTCCAAGGCATCTGTCAATTGACTGATTTAATTGATTCTATCTAACATTTAGCATTTTCTAATACCTTTCATTTCAAAACATTTAGATAAGCCTCAAAAGCCATATGCCATGACAAAATTGAAATTCTTTTTGTATTATATGTACCCACATGTCTCTTCCAACTAGCTCTAACAATACTGAGTGACAATGATAATAACTAGACTTACAAAAGAAAAGCAGCAATTTTAGGTACTATTGTCTCCTTACCTTGAGTGGAAGAAAAGTAAGAATTAGTGTACTAAAGGAGCAAAGCAACAGCAAAGTAACTATTGTTGAGTAGAGGAACCATTGCTTCCAGGATGATCTGTGTGTCCCTTGAAGACTTGAATGGCTTAAAGGCATATCTTCCATGTGGCTCAAACTCATTCTCTGCAGGAATAAGAGCTCTGGAAAGAAGAAATTCACAAGTGATGGTCCAATGATGCAACTAGTCAGTTTTGTGGTATGGTAATTAGCAGTGGGTGTAATAGGCGGGGTTTTCCTTTTGATTCTGTGTGTTGGAAAATGATACTTTTAGGCTAAGTGATGACTCTCATTTGGCACAAGACCAAATGCACTGAAAGGAACAGAGGGCTAGAAGCCAACACAGACAGAGAGGATGAAAAAAATCAACACAAGGAACGTTCAGAGGAAAAAAAGTTCTTTTCTGAAGCATGAGGTAGTACACTACTGTGTAGCATTACAAATTATTTTCAGATAATAAAATTATAAGAAGAAATAAAGTTCAAGATCAAGCCCTATCATGCTGTAGATATCATGTATATGTAAGGCTGGGGTTGGGGAGCTAGGGAGGCCAGGGTGCATGGTTTGGGAAAAAAAAGTGTTTCATCAATTTCTAGGGTATAAAATATGTCATTCTGAAATAGTCTCTAGAAAACAGCTGCATTACTAGAATTGCATTTTAAAAAAATAGAAATACAACAAGCTCAGTTTTCTCACATCTCATCATTTTAAAACCCTGAAAATTCCATGCTGGCATCAAATGAAGTTATCATACAAAAGGATGTTTTCCTATACTCACACATGATGTGAGCTTATACTCTACTCCAAAATACTTGAGTTTTTTCTTGACACCAAAACTGTTGGTTTACTACAAAATTGAGGAAGTCCCTGGTTCCATCTGTTAAATGGAATACCTACTTTTTTTTTTTTTTTTTACAAAATGCCAGCATCATGTACTAGAAAGAACATGGATTTTTAAATCAGTCAGACCTGAGAGGAGAGCCTGGCACTGTCCAGCTCTGACCTGGCCTTCAGCATGATACTTGACTTCTCTGTTTCCTTAATTTTAAAATTGAGAAAATTTCCACTTCATAAGGCTTGAGAATGAAATAAATATGAAAAATCTGGCTTATATGAGATGTTCCCTAAGTGTTTATCTCTTTTCCACCCTTCTTAGAGATACTATAAAAATGGAATCCATCATAAAATCCTAGAAAATAATGATTTAAAAGAAATATTTACAGCAGGGCATTATTCAGCTGAAATTCATTTATTTTATTTTTTAAAGGTTTTAGTGTTTTTTTTAAAGATTTTATTTATTTATTTATTTGAGAGAGAGGATGAGAGAGAGAGAGAACATGAGAGGGGGGAGGGTCAGAGGGAGAAGCAGACTCCCCGCTGAGCAGGGAGCCCGATGTGGGACTCGATCCTGGGACTCCAGGATCATGACCTGAGCCGAAGGCAGTCGCTTAACCAACTGAGCCACCCAGGCGCCCTCAGCTGAAATTCATTTAAATAAAAGGAGTTTAAATGAAAATATTTTGAAGAATTTTTTTAAATCTGGGAGAATCAAAGATTTTTTTTAATTAGGGGGAAAAGGCTTAGAGATTTAAGATCCTCATTTATTGAAAAGGAAGCTAAAGATAATAGAGGTTGTATGGTGGGTCACACCACGAATCACTGTGTACAAGGGAGTGGGAACCTGAATTCAAGGATACTAACCATCTTCTAACCTAACATCTTCTCTTAGTATCACACTATTTGTAGCAATATTTCTCCCTGTGTTGTCACATTTTAACTTGGCCTTATTTTACCTTGATCAATAAACTGTCTCTGAAGAAGAGTGCAGAGTCAGTCAGGAATAATTTTTTGGTACAACAGTGTTTCTGGGACTCTGTTCTAGATGTTGGGATGCAGAGATGAATAACAAACTGACCCTAGAAGAACTATACATTGTACCTAGAACTCTTGTACTCATATCATGTCTGTAATCCAAATGCACAAGCACAGAATTTAAAATTGATTTAAAAGATTTAGACTCCTGCTTCTTTGAACTACTCCCTCTCCTGTCTCTTTTCCAAATTTTAGATGGAAATGCCTCTGCTTACTCACTTCAGTAAACATTTATTCAAATGAGGAACTGTTCCAAATAAAATCCAGTTCCTCCTTCTGTCCTTAACTAAGCTTGGGCTCTGCTATATCCTCATTAATTCTTTTAACTTTATGAAAGTATCTTAAGAAAGATACCATGCTTATCTCAAGAAGAATACATTCCAGTGCTTCTTTTCATGAAATGGGGTTCAGAAATGAAGGAACTTCAAGTTAGAACAAGTGATAGTAGGGAAGACTTTTGAAATTCTGGAGTAATGAGTCACCATTGGTTAGTTTTTGGTGTAAGCTGTAAGAATTGACATCTCAGATGTGACATCTTAGGATCTGACAAGAGCACCAAACTCAAGCTTTTGTATTTATGACCTGTCACTGGATCACATACTTAAATGAGATTGTTTTCAATTAAGTACAAATAGCAAAAGCATGTTGAATGTTTACTATCAGCTTTCTACTGTGCTAAGAGCTTCGGGGATAAAAAAAAAAGTCACAGGTGTCAAGGAATTTGCCACACAACTAAATTAAAGCCTTAAACAGATGCCCAAATGAATACTAAAGGACAGAGCTTCAGAGAACAGAAAGATCTAGATAAACTAAATTAGCTGAGAACACAGGTTAGAAATGGACTGAGAGGAGAAAGGAAGGAGCTCTTTCTTATGGGAGGAATAAATATTCACAGGTATAAACATCAGCAAATGTTAGAAAACATATTAAAAGCTTAATATGAACAAAGGCAAAATACCAATTTTTTTAATGGATCTAGTAGTTCTCATTCAAGAGGATGAGGAATTCAGGAAAACTAATAAAATGAGGAATTCAGGAAAACTAGTAAAAGAAAATCTTTCTATATTTTTGGATTTAAAGAAAAGCATGCAGGATATGCTCGATTAAACTATTTTAACTATATTCATTGGTGTTTTGAATTTGGAATGAGTTAGATATATAGAAACTTGGCTCTAGTTCAGTTATTGCCCACATTATACTAACATGAATTGGCCTATTATATGTCTTCTCTGTGCAAAAATGATTATATTTGAACATTAAACAACCCTGTATTGACATTCCACATTTAAAAATGATAAGACTGACATTTGAGAGGATAAATCACTAGCCCATACTGATAGAACAGGAATTGAATCCCCATCTTTTGGATTCCAAACCTCTTATTTTTCTACCTCTATACACTGAAATATATGTGAAGTGGATGCTGTGTGGAAGAAACAGAGTGGGATGCATATTAAAATCTGTGAGAAAATATTAGATGGACATCAGATTCGTCCAAAATCCTGTATTGCTCAGGTCTACATGCCTTGCCACATTCCTTTTATATACTATTTACTGTGACTTTATCCTTGGGATAGTGTATGGTGTAGCATACTGAGTCAGAAATATTCAATATATCAGAAATCGGGAATACTGCACAACTGATTTTGTTTACTCTAGATACCAGAGTATTCACTCTTGTGATAAATAAGGCCCGTTTAGTTTGAAGTTACATAGATAGATAGATAGATGATAGATGATTGATAGATGATGATAGATAGATAGATGATATAGATAGATAGATAATAGACATGATACAGAAATAGGGTCTTAAACTCAGAATTTTATAAAGGCAACAAGAATATCTGTTAATATTAATAAGCACTTATTTAATAAAGAGAATTGTGTACAGCTAATTATACATAAATATATATACAACTATACACATATGTGTATAATATACATATTTATACACATATTTATATGTTATATTACAATAAATTTTAAAAGATACACAGAGACTTCTTGTATCAGACTCCAGATCATTCTAAGGAGCTAAAAACAACCCTAATCAGGATGGTCTAGGAAATAGTTGAAATTCAAATTAAGTTTTCCTTCTTTTGCTATTTGCAGATGACATGATACCATACAGAGAAAATCCTAAAGACTTCACCAAAAACTACTGGGACTGATAAATGAATTCAGTAAAGTTACAGGATACAAAATCAATGTACAAAAATCTGTTGCATTCCTGAACACTAATAATGAAGCAGCAGAAAGTGAAATTAAGAAAACAATGCCATTTGCAACTGCATCAAAAACAATAAAATATCCAGGAATAAACTTAACCAAAGAGGTAAAAGACCTGCACTCTGAAAACTATAAAACAGGGTTGAAAGAAATTCAAGACGATGCAAAGGAATGGAAAGACACTCCATGCTCATGGGTGGAAGAAAAAATATTGTTAAAATATCTATACTATGCAAAGCAATCTGTTATAGATTTAATCAAAATACCAACAGCATTTTCCATAGAACTAGACCAAATAATCCTAAAATTTTTATAGAACCACAAAAGACTCCAAATAGCCAAGACAATCTTGAAAAGGAAAACCAAAATTCAGACTTCAAGATGTGTTTTTACAAGCTGTAGTGATCAAAACATTAGAGTATTGGCACAAAATAGGCACATAGATCAATGGAACAGAATAGAAAACCCAGAAATAAACCCACAAATAAATGGTCAACTAATCTTTGACAAAGGAGGAATGAATATACAATTGTCTCTTCAACACATGGTGTTGGGAAAACTAGATAGCTACATGCAAAAGAATGAAACCAGACTACTACACCATACACAACCATACACAAACTCAAAATGGATTAAAGACCTAAATGTGAGACTTGAGATGATAAAAGTCTTAAAAGTAAGCACGGGCAATAATTTCTCTGACACTGGCAGTAGTAGCATTTTTCTAGATATGTCTCCTGAAGCAAGGGACATAAAAGTAAAAATAAACTACTGGGATTACATCAAAATAAAAAGCTTCTGCGCAGCAAAGTAAACAGTCAACAAAACTCAAAGGCAATCTACTGAAAGGGAGAAGATATTTGCAAATGACATATCCAATAAAAGGTTAGTATCCAAAATATATAAAGAACTTATAAAATTCAACACCCAAAAAACAAATAATCCAATTATTTTAAAGTTAAAATATTTTTAGTTGGATTATTAAATGGGCAGAAAGTATGAACATTTCTCCAAAGATGTGTAGATGGCCAACAGACACATGAAAATACTCAACATCACTGA